CTATATGTACTTGAACACCTGAAGATCAAAAACAGGCTGTTCTGAAAGATGATGGCCTCTTCCTTCCTCTATATTTTTGGTCTGCTTTAGTCTGTGGTAGGCTGTATCCTAAGAAGTGTGATAAAATTAATTGCAAAGGCTACAACCATTTTATTCAGAAAAAAGTTAATTTGCCTTCTGATATGGACTTTGGATATATAAACAGTAATTCAAACCACATGGCTTAATCCAAAATCTAGGCCCAGGTTTCCCTGTGAATATTCCTTCAAGGCTTAAGCCTGTAGCATGATCATCTGAGCTTCAGCTCAGATGGTTGGGTTTAAGTATCCTTCCACTGAAAGGTAAGCTACTAGCCAGCACCCTAGAAGAGTTGACTTACTTCTCTTGAGGGGAGCAACTTATCCCTAAAGCTGTTAGGACTGGACAGGTTCCTGTGTACGAGAAATGAACACAAACCAAACAGAATGACACATAATTCATTTAAAGCCATCTATTCAGAGGACTCCTGGGACCTTACCTCCTTCCATGTAATTCCACCAGCTTGGTTCATCTCTGTCAATCTTAGAGGCTAAGAGAAAGGAGAGAGTAGCCCTAGAAATGGAGACAACCACATCCACCTCTATCTACATATGCTTCAATTCACTGTCCCAATACACAGGTGACCTAGAGATTTCCTGAGTGTTTTTGATGAAACACATCAATTCTTGTCCTCAAAGAGGTACACTGAACAAACACTTAAATTGGCAGTTTCAAAAACATTTCATTATGTACAAGGACCAAAAAGTCCAACCCTCATTTTATAGCTGAGGAAATGAAGTACAGAAAAGTGTTCTGTCCAATGAGTTAGAGGTGATGTCAAGTTCCATCCAGCTGCCATAGTTAATTTTAAGCTCTTAAGAATCCAAAGAGTCGGCTCTTTGACAGCCTGGGGAATTTTGCAATCTACTTTTCTTCAGTCTGCACTTGAAGCCTTATCCAAACATTGTGGGTGGGGCGAGGGGAGAAAGACCAGGCAAATGATCAAATCAGGAAAAACAGGGAGAAGAGAATGACTGGAGACCGGCCAAAATTAGCCTATCTACAACACCTCCTGTCTCAAGATTATCAAAGAACCTTATCTGGGTGCAGTAGTTTCTCTTCCATTCTGAATAGAGGAAATAAAATGTAATAGCAAGAAAATACATCCAAAACCTAGAAAAAAAAAATAAGTTCTTCACTGCTCTAGCAAATCAACGAGCAGGCCTTCCTAGGCAAGCAGTGGGACGGGCCAGAAAGTGTTCTGGGGGCCAATTCTACTCTCTGTGACCTCAGTCAAGTTACTCAACCTTTCACACCTGTCTCCTCACCTGAGAAAGAGGATATCACCTCACCACCTGCTTTGTAAGGTTGTTGTGAGGACTGGGAATAATATATTAAGGGACCAGATCCTTGGAAACCCTCCTATAAATGGTAACCGCTGTGATGTATATGAAAAGTTCGTTTGTGCCTTTCATACTTTCCAATTCATATCACGTAAATTCCTTTGTCTAGATTACATATAAGAATTACAAGTAAACTTGAAATGCTCTGGCTATTTCCTTCAAGAACTCTGTTCTCTTACTTCTCCTAAAATGAAAGATCTGCAGTGATTAGGAAAAAGGACTGGCAACCTCAAAGGGGGAGGTGCTCCGGGGCCCCCTCAAGGGAAACCGCCCCCCCCGGACTGTCAGCTCTCTGAGGGCAGCGACTGCCCTGTTTAACTCACCACTGTGACCTAGTTTTCCTAATGCAGACTAATCGTTGTAGACTTAGACATCTCATGACAGCTTACATGACACCCAAACATGGACCCACAAGAGTGTATCTCACAATACTGAGCCACACAAAAATATTAAAAGTTGAATATTACGATACAGTTTAACTGTAATACTAAAATTTTAAAAAAAAAGGCGCTGTAAATCGAGTGCCTATGAGGTAACCAGAATGAAGTCACGCCTTTAATGATAAAGGACCACCAGAAACAGATAGATGTCCACAGGCACTGAAGCTCCGGCAGGATGTTCCACTGAACTGGCGCGATCGCCTCTGGCCTGAGATCGGGATTCGAACCCAGAACTTGTCCCGAAGGACGGGCAGAGGCCACTCCAGAGAGGAAGAGGCCTTTAAGGCCAGGCGCACCTCGCTCGAACTTTCTGGTGGGCGCCGGCCCGACCCCGACTGCGGGCGGCTCGACTCACGTCCCCTCTCCCGAGCAGCGGAGCAGATCGCGACGCGGAAGCGCGCTCGGAGGGACGAGGGTCGCCAGTCCTTTGTCCCCCGCAGAGGGGCAGGGGCGACGGCAGCGCTCCCTCCTCTCAGGAAATAATGACAGACCGCGCGCCCTCGCTCGAGCCCGCCCCGCCCCGCCCGCCAGGGCCGCAGGAGGCGCCAGATCCGCAGCCCCCGGCCGAGGCGCCCCGGCCGCGCCCCCTCCTCGCTCCCCGCCCGCCCAGGGCGACCCCGTGCCGCCAGCCTCACCCGGTCGGAGATGGAGGCTGCCGTCGCGGCGGCTGCACCACAGCGCGCGTTCGTCCTGCTGCAGGATGTAGTGGTCCTTGGCTTGGAAGAGCTCCATGCCGGCCCCGGACACCAAGGGAGGCGGCGGCGGCCCGGGCGCGCCAGCGGCTCTGCAGCCCCGCGACCCCGCGACCCCAGAGGCGGCGGTTCGCGCGGGGCGTCCTCGTCGGCCGGGGCCGCCAGAGCCCGCGCTTCGGGGAGCGCCGGCTGAGGGAGCACCCCCGGCTGCCAGACCCGCGGGAAGAGAACGCGCCCCGGCGGCGGCGGCGGCGGCGGCGGCCTTGGGAGGCCTCTCCCCCCGGCTCCGCCCCTTGATCGGCCCCGCCCCCGCTCCCCTCATGGCTCCGCCCCCTGCCCCACCCCTTCCCCCGCTTCTCCCCTGACTTCTCCCAGGCTCCACCCCCTCCCCGTCTCCTCCCCGCTTCTCTCTCCTTTCCGTTCCTCTTCCTGCCCATTCCCGCCGCCTTCTTCTCCAGCTTTTCCTGGGTTTCTCCGCCTGGTTCCTCCCCCGAGGCTCTTCCTCCTCCCTCTTCTCTCTCCATCCAAGCCCCCTCCTCCTCCTCCCGCTCTTTCCAGGCCCCGCCCCTGGCGGGCCCGCTTTCCCAGCCCCGGGAATTGCGGGCAGAACACTGGCCTGGATGAGACAGACTGGCCGCCTTACTGCCCTGCGGCCTTTGGAGCAGAAGCCCACTTCTGGGGCCTCCCCTCCCATGCCAGCAGGTTATTCGTTACTTTCACCAGCCCTGAGAAAAGCCAGGCCGACTCCCTAAATCCAGCCTGACCGCCCCCCCCCCCCGCCCTCTTCCCCCGGGCCTGTACTGCCCGCAGAGACCCAGACTAGGAGAGCTGGGAAATGCGACCTAAGGGGCTGGTTGCAGGGGTCTGTCGCCAGCCAGGCTCTCCACAGAGCTGGGGCGTCTTCTGTTTGGGAATTTCCTCTTAGAACCTTGCAACATTTGACAACAGCAAACATTCAATAAATGCACATCAACGAGAAGCATGTAACAATAGAAATTAAACAAGTATTACCAGCACGGGGCTCAAAATAACGAGAAGGAAGAGAGCAAAGTCCATAAGCTATCATGTCCCGAATTAAGCAGGACGCATGTGAGAAGACAATAAAATGTCAAGGAAGTAAAAGGGGTCTAGTTTGACAAGGATAAGATGGCTGGAAAACCTCTTGTGGAAGGAGGAAGCCCTCCCAAGTATCTTCGAGCTATCTTGAAAGGCCAGGTGGTATGTTGAACAGAATGGGGCTTGAGAGTCAGGACCCCAGTTCCAGGCCCCACGCCAGGGGTGATCTAGCTGTGTGATCTTGGGAAAGTCTCTTGGTCTCAGATTGCGGTTGAACTAAATGACCTTTAATTCCACTCCCAGTTTTATGAGTAAATGAATCTTTCTACTCCTGTCTCCTGCCTTTTCTAATGCCTTAGAAAGGAAGAAGGAAAAAACAAACAAACAAACAAAAACGAGGTAGAAGACAAGAAAAGCAAGGCAATGCTTTTAACTTTCTGCTAGATAAGAGTGAGAGGGCCCAAAAGCAGGAAGGAGTTCCACATTACTAATTATTCCAGCCCACACTGGTTTCTCAGTTGAATTTCCATAGCACAGGAAGTCCCATGATGACAAACTGTCCTGGAATCTGTGATAAGTACTATGCCTTTTGGACTGCCCAGACATCTCAACCTAAAGGTCAATAGGAGCAATTACTATGGCAAATGAGGCGAGTTGGACAAAGAAGATAATGGCAATAAGATGGTGGAAAGAAGATTCAGTGGAGCCATCAGTTTCGGATTTATTGTTGAATTCAGCCGTGTGTTGACTTTCCTTAGCAAAAATGAAGAGATAATGAGAAAGTCTTATGAAGACAGGATGTTCTGCAAATTACTTCTTTATTTTTTAATGAATCACATTGCCAGATGTGAAGAAAATAATGCTATTGTAACTTTTGAAACAATTGATTAGTTGACTGAAACTTTCCCCGATGTTTTAAATCAGTGGTTCCAACCATAGCTACCTAGGTAGAATCACTTAGGGAGTTTTTCAAACATACCAATACTAGGAACTCAGGCCAATTAAAACAGAATTTAATTGAGATGGGCTCTGGCAACAGTATTTTTTTTTTTTTTCTAAGCTCCCCAGAGTATTCTGATATGCAGCCAGGATTAAGCACCACTGTTTTAAATGAAATTAAATGGAAAAATCTGCCTGACAGCAGCTTAGTAGAAAACACCAGTCAGTCATTAACTCAGACCAGTGTATGCGGGTGATGACCTGTAAATCCAGAGTTAACAAGCAGAGCCCTTAGGAGAGAGAAAACCTGAAGATGTTCCTGGAATCTATCTGACCCAGATGCACAGTGCTCTCTCCCTCTCACTCTGAATGCATGCTAGAGCCCTGGCCTGGCCAAGCAGAATGAGTGAAAAGAGTAAATACTGTGTCCCTAGCAGATATCACATCCTCAGTCTCCTGCCACAGGTGTCTTGTCTTGTTCCTGCTAAGGACTTCCTGAACCTCAAATACTCTTTACCTGCCAGGTGCTCCTGACACTGCAGCTTCTCTACTCCCTGGCTGGCCTCCCCATCCTTGGCCTGTGGCTATCTGCCAACCTTCATCACTCTCTTCCAGCTTCCTAATTCAAGGCCCTCCTGCCCTTGAATGGTGCCACCCAGTTTATGGTAGAAAGTTCATGTGATGCTGTTCTGTTTTTTAAACTTGAATGACCATCATGTGTATTATGTATCTTCTTTTACATGTATCATATACTTATACTAGTTTAGGTATATCCACTAGGAAGTTAGGTTCTAGCCTGTTCTATCTGATCTTAGTCAAGTCACTTAATCTCTTTTAGTGTCAGTTTCCTTATTTATTAAAAGAGATTATCACTAACGGTTCTTCCAGCCCTGAAATCAGTGAATGTGAGGAAATGTGTCCACATAGTTAAACTTAGGCAAATAAGGATGGTAAAAGACTCAACTCTGATGCTCGATTTGGCCTTCAATGTCATGTTTATTATTTGTTTCTGAGATTTGGGGGTTATGATTAGATTCTAGTGTCCTGTGGTGAAATTTGACTTTTAACATCATCTCCCGTCTACTTGTCTACAGTCTTGTATGTTGTTTGTCTACGAGAACTTTCTTCAGTATTGTTTGTATATGAGAAATCTCCCAAAGGAGATATATTTTTTTAAATACATGTTCTGCCTGCCAGGAGGCTGCTGATTTCTTCAGTCAGCAGTCAGAGCGGTTAAGACCCCAAGATACTCACAAGCCAAATTTTCACATTTGACCAATCGTCAGCCGATATCTCCTGGATTTGACTGCCATACCTCCTCCCATAACTTCATGAAGTTACAACTGGAAATTGTAACAACCATTTTGGAGCTTTGACATATGTAAGGTTGTTCCTTTGAGAAGCACTATGGAACAAAAAGGGAAAAGTCTGTTGCATTGGTCTAAATGAGAGATACTTTTGTTTAATAGAGATCGTCTCTCCTCCATTGTTATACTTTGGGGGTTAATAAGTACTGGCTTTTTAGTTGTACAGTCTGATAAAATTGTCAAGGACCCAAGTTATTGTTTAAACCAGCTATAATAGTTCTTTTGCGTGTGTGTGTGCATGTGTGTGTGTGTGTGAGAGAGAGAGAGAGAGAGAAAATGAAATGTGTTTTCTGCATCTAATCTTTCTCCTTCCAGAGGAAAGAAAATTAGCCTTTTACAGTGATAATTTCATATTTGTCTAAAGCCAGCTGTCTCTCACTTCCTCTGTGTTATGTATTTACTTTCCAATTTTAAAAATAGCTTAAAAATTAGAGAGTTCTGGGGGCTTCCCTGGTGGCACAGTGGTTGAGAGTCCGCCTGCCGATGCAGGGGACACAGGTTCGTGCCCCAGTCTGGGAAGACCCCACATGCCGCGGAGCGGCTGGGCCCGTGAGCCATGGCCGCTGAGCCTGCGCGTCCGGAGCCTGTGCTCCGCAATGGGAGAGGCCGCAGCAGTGAGAGGCCCGCATACTGAAAAAAAAAAAAAAAAAATTAGAGAGTTCTAAGTAAGCTAATTTGAAGAAAAAAGTCCAAGGTATACTGTTAAATAACAAAAGTCCTAGCTGCAGAGTGGTATTTTAATGTATCCCATTTGGGTTTTTAAAGGGGAGAATGGGAGAGATATTATGTTTTTATAAGCGCAGAACATTTCTGAAACAAAACACAGGAAGTGTGGTTACCTCTGAGGAATGGAAATGGGGGTGGGGGTACTCAGGAATGGCAAGAAGGAGGGTAGAAACTTCCTTTTCACTTTATATTCCTGTATGCTGTTTTGATTTGTGTGTGCGTGTGCTTTTATTGCTTTAAATTAAAAAAAAAAAAGTTAAATATGTGTGTGTCTAAAGCACATTCTTCCACCACACACAAAAACATATTTTTAGGTAACTTATTACCTCAGGGTTTAGAACCTTTTGCATTGACAAGCCAGGAGTCCAGGACAAAGCTCTTTCTATTCTTCACACACTGCTTAGTAGTTTTGAGCTTTCCTAAAACCTTAACTGCTGTCAAAGTGAGCTATAGTTAAGTATATAAGCCATTTTTCTGCACTGTATCCTCTTTTACACGGAATATAGGAAGAGTATTTTTCTTTGATACCTTTTCTAAACCACAGCAGTAGCTGTGGCTTCTCCTTCCTCTGCCAGTTGCAACTCTCAGGCTGATGGCCTGTTGGGGCCTGTACCGTCGTAAATCAATAACAATTGTCAAAAGTGCCTTCTGTTAGATAATCATTTTAGAGATTTTTCAGAGAATGCTTTGTGCTGCACCAGAAAACAATGGCGGGAGTGGGCTGGAATTACTTCTGTAGAAAATTGGTACATCTTTGGAAAAGCTGCCCAGTGGAATTTCTTCTCCTGGTTAAAGAAAAATAATAACAGCTCACAGCGTTTCACCATTTCATAAGAGTAGCACTTAGTAACAGGAAATATAGGGTTTGGGTTTCCCTAATATACTCCATCGTTTTCCCTCAATTTTACAGCAATTCTTAAATTTACTTATTATTTATTTATTTTTGGCTGCATTGGGTCTTCGCTGCTGTGTGCGGGCTTTCTCTAGTTGCAGCCAGCGGGGGCTACTCTTTGCTGTGGAGCACCGGCTTCTCACTGCGGTGGCTTCTCTTGCTGTGGAGCACGGGCTCTAGGCACACGGGCTCAGTAGTTGTGGCTCACAGGCTCAGCAGTTGTGGATCGCGGGCTCTAGAGTGCAGGCTCAGTAGTTGTGGTTCACGGGCTTAGTTGCTCCGTGGCATGTGGGATCTTCCCGGACCAGGGCTCGAACCCGTGTCCTCTGCATTGGCAGGCAGATTCTTAACCACTGCCCCACCAGGGAAGCCCTTTACAGCAATTCTTCAAAGAGCCTGAGGAAGCACAGTGAAGGGTGTGTGTTGGGGGAAGGGTGCTGGGCTGCTCCTGACCAGGTAAGCATAGGAAGTGGGGGGTACGTAGTTGGGGGAAGAGAGCGATGCGGTGTGATTTGCAAAGTGTCCATGATGAGGCCCATGATGGGTAACCAGAGACCAGCTGCAAATGTGGCAAATACATCTTCGAAATTTGGCCATCACTCTAATAGTTGCTATTTCTCGAAAATGGTGAGATACTAGCATTGAGGTTGCCTGTGAGCAGTGGACCACTTCTCACGGTTTTTCACATCGCTCTTCTATGATTTAATCAAGTAGGGATTCTAGGTTGTAGGGGTGATGCTTATAAAGCCACAACCCAAGCGGTTCAGTCCAGGGCAGCATCAAAGCTGAAAAAAGATCCATTCCACACATATCTGAGAAAGCTCCAGTCCTTTGAGTATTTCTCAAATACTATAAAGCCCTCTGTAAGTTTTTGTTTTGTTGTTTATTTTTAATCTTATTTCTTTTCTGCTCATCATCATCCCATGGCACAGATACTCCCATACCTCTCCTCTCCAACCTCCTCTCCAGCTTCCTTTCCCCTTTTTCAGCCCTTTGCTGTGAAATCTGACCACTCAGGGCTATTTCCCCTGGAGAGGCCTGGCCCTCCTTGGAGGATGGGAGAGAGGAGGAAATGGAAGTCTACGCCAGAAAGCTCTCCAGCTGTGGGGAAAAGGGGACGGGCTGGGAACACTCAGACACTAACAAGTCTATCCCATCACTTCAGCATGAGCCTATTTCTCCCTTGGGATTTGGTTAAACTATTTTCATTTTGAATGGGAAAAAAAATATGGCCTGTAAACAATTTTATTTGGGGCCCTTACATTTAAAAAGCCCCAGGTTGGGCTTCCCTGGTGGCTCAGTGGTTGAGAGTCTGCCTGCCGATGCAGGGGATACGGGTTCGTGCCCTGGTCCGGGAGGATCCCACATGCCGCGGAGCGGCTGGGCCCGTGGGCCATGGCTGTTGAGCCTGTGCGTCCGGAGCCTGTGCTCCGCAGCGGGAGAGGCCACAATAGTGAGGGGCCCGCGTACCGCAAAAAAAAAAAAAAAAAAAAGCCCCAGGTTACTATCTGGACTTTTCTTCCCTTATGATTTCACAATTGGAACTCAAGTGTCTGGCTCAGAGGAAGAGAGCAAGCTTCGGGGAACTGGTATCTGCCAGCACTGGATCTGAAGGCATTCCCCAAAGCAACGCCAGTTCCTCGTTTGCTGCTGACCCGGCCTATTTGGAGCAAATGACTTACTGTTCTGCCTGCCGAGCTTGGAGCTGAGAAATCCAGGGGTGGCGGGGGATGAAGAGAGACAGGTAGGAAGGATCAGCGCCAGGAGGCAGGCAGTTTAGATGAACTCGCTTGTCTTATTCTTCCTACCCCCTCCCCCATTCCCAGCAAGAGGCTAACAGAGCCCTGGGTCCCCGCCCACTTCCCCTGTTTACCTAAGCCTGAGGTACTTGGGCAAATCTCCAACTCTCGAAGGTCAGTTTCCCTTATGTAAAGTGGAGATAAAATAGAAAACTTTCTTCACAAGTTTATTGTCAGGATTAAATGAACTTGTCTTTGAAAGGGTGTCCCAAACTATGAAGTGTTAAAGAAATGTCATTGTATAATTTTTTTAAATGTACTTTATGTGTAAAGTTTTCCCCTCTAGATCTCAGCTTATTTGATGGATTTCTAACATATTACATAGATTTTTAACCTATATATTACATACCTAATGCGTATATATTAATATATATTAAAGAAGAAATATGTTAATATGTATGATTCAGATGTTTTATCTCAAATCACATCATTGGGAAATAAAAGTAATAGATATTAATCATATAACTAGAAGGATGTTTGGTCTTGATTCCTTTTGGGCTGCACCCCGCAGCCCAAAGACTGAAGAAAGCCTTCAGTCTTCTTCAGCCTTGAGACTGAAGAAAGAACCCAGAGACAGTGACAGAGACATCAACGATTTATTGGATAAGAGATCTCACGCATCCAAAACAAAGGTCCTAGAGGGAACCCACACTGTGGGTGATGAAAGGCAGTAATCTTTGCTACTCAGGGGAGAAGGAGGCTACCATTTATAGGAGGGATTGATGTCAGGTTGGTTCATCAGTTACCAGGGAAACCAGCGGCTGGGGCAGGGGGCAAGCATGTAGACAGTTACTAATTAAGCCCTACAATTAAGACGATTGGATAATCATGTGAGAGAAGCAGGGCCTGGTCGAACAGGGGATGTACAGGGAGCAAGAGAACAGCCATCTTGAATGACCTAACCACACAGATTTCCAACCAGAGACAGAGGATTCGCCCTGAGGCTAATGAAACTTAAGCTTCAGGAGTTTTGTTTGTTTTAATACTCCATTTCAAGTTATTACAAAATAATGGCTATATTTCCCTGTGCCATAAATATATCCTTGTTGCTTATTTATTTTACATTAAGCTTCGGGGCTTTTGGATTTCATCCAAAGCCCTGTACATAATTCTGTATTCATTATTTTGTATTATTCTTTCTAAAGAGGACCTGCCATACGTTAAAAAAGCTTCAGGTGCCACAAACCTTGATCCCAACACTAGCATAAAAGAATGTTCTGTGTGCTACATCCCAGGAGAATTTGGGGCCTGCTCTTTGTCTTCTCTTAATTTGTCCTTCCCTCTTTGGTCATCCTCTTGTATCATTTTAGCTCCTCCCCTCTTTCTAAATTCAAATATACTTTCTATTACCCCTAATTCACTAATCCACTAACACTCACATAGCTGGGTGAACACACACACACATGCACACACACACACACACACTGACTTCTATCAAGAGATAAATTTAGAGACTGGAAACAGTGTGTTCAAGGATAGCACCATTCATCCCAAATGACTCAGAGAGAGCTATTCCAGTTAATGTGGAGCCCTTACCATGAAAATAGAGCTAGGAAGAACTCTTTCATTCAATAATGCTAAGGTTGTACATGTTCCAAGAGTGGATTCAAAAGTACTATAAATAGGAAGAAAGTGTTTTCGTCATGTGATATTAGACTAGGCTGTCTTTGGAAGAAAAGTAGCACTCCATGTACCAGGTGTGCTTATCTTTGAGGGATTCAGAAGGAACCTGGCTACACCACACCACACCTAGTCAAGGAAATCCCTGGAAGCAAGCAAGGCACCACAGTCCTTCCCCGGTTCATAGGAGCCCTGGCTCACTCCCCCACACCTGCTCCCGCACGCAATCCAGAGCCACCAGAGGAACATCCTCAGTCACATCAGGATGAAGCCTGAAGGGACAGGTATTTGGGGAGATAAAGCACAGGTCCTAACCTGTTGGAAGGGTTGGAATTTTCAAAATTGGGGCTGGGAGACATCAGACTGCAAGGGGAATTAAAGGAAGGCAGGTGACAGACCCTCAAAAATGGGAGATGGAAAGGAGGAGCCAGGTAGTAACCATTCAGAATACTCCCTGAAGGCCTGAACTGAGAGTGTGGGCCTCACCCACCCCAACCCTGAGTGGCAGGAGGAAAAGAATAAGTTAGATGAAGGCAAAGCTTCCAGCCCCACTACTGGATGGCTTCAGGTTGCTTATCTGACATTTCCATAAAAGCTCAGTCTAAACCCCTGTAGCCAGCAGAATACAGATATCAAATATCAGAGCCTAAACCCTGGAACCTGAAAATGTTACCTTATACGGAAAAAGTATCTTTGAAAATATGATGGGATATCTTGAGATGTGATTAAGGCTCTTAACCTGGATTACTCAGGTGGGCCCCAAATGCCCACATGTAACCTTCCAAGAAGGAGGTTGAGGTAGATCTTAAAAGTTCTCACCACAAGGAAAAAACATTTGTAACTCTGTGTGGTGACGGATGTAAACTAAACTTATGCTAATCATTTCACAATATATACTGATATCAAATCATTATGTTGTACATCTAAAACTAATACAATGTTATATGTCATTTACATCTCAATTTTAAAAAGGGGGATGCTGAGCGAGATTTTACACACACAGAGGAGAAGGTGATATGAAGACAGAGCTGAGAGACACTTGAAGATGTTGGCCTTGAAGTTGGAAGAGATATGCCCACAGCCAAGGAATGCCAAGCCACCAGAAGCTAGACAGGCAAGGAGCTGATTCTGCCCCAGAGCCTCCAGGAGGGAGCAGGGTCCGGCTGACAACTTGATTTTGACCCAGTGAGGCTGATTCTGCACTTCTGAGCACCAGAGCTATAAGCGAACAAAGGCGTGTTGTTTTAAGTCATAGGAAACTAATACAATCGCCATTAGAATTCTGCAGGTGTTCGGTCTGGCAAAGATTGGCAGAGACAGGCAGCACTGGCTTCTAGCCATCAGATGCAGCAATGATTCCCCATGGGTTACCAGGGAACCCTCCTGACCTGCAGGGGACTGTATTCATTTCCTAGGGTTGCCATACCAACTACCACAAACTCGGTAGCTTAAAACAACAGAAATTTATTCTGTCACCGCTCTGGAGGCCAGAAGTCCACAATCAAGGCGTTGGCAGGATTGTTTCCTTCTGGAGGCTCTGAGGGAGAATCCCTTCCATGTCTCTCTCCTACTTTCTGGTAGATTCCATGATCCTTGGCATTCCTTGGCTTGTAGCTGCAGAACTCCAACCTCTGCCTCTGTCTTCATGTGGATCTTCACATGGCCTTCTCCCCTTTATCTCTGTGTATCTTTTCCTTTTCTGTCTCTCATAAGGACACCCGTCATTGGATTTAAGGACCACCCTAATCCAAGATGATCTCATCCAGAGAGCTTTAAATTAATTACATCTGCAGATATCAAAAACACACCTATGGCTACTAAAAGGGAAAGGTGGGGGTGGTATAAATCAGGAGCTTGGGATGAACATACACACACTACTATATATTAGATAACCAACAGGAACCTACCGTACAGCACAGGGATCTCTACGAAATATTCTGTGATAACCTATACAAGAAAAGAATCTGAAAAAGAATGACTATATGTATATGTATAACTGAATCACTCTTCTGTAACTGAATCAACTATACTCCAATAAAATTTTTTAAAATAAAATAAAATAAAAATCAACCTAAAAAAATAATTACATCTGCAAAGACCCTATTTCTAAATACGGTCATATTCACAGGTACTGAGTGTTAGGACTTGGACTTATCTTTTTGGGGGGACACCATTCAACCCGCTGCAGGGGCCATACCCCTCCCACTCAGTGGGGGAATGGCAGAGAACTCCGGCAATCATCTAGCGTAATGAAGACTCCACAAGCTGGAGCAAATTGCCATAGGATCAGTCAGCACATTATTGACGTCAGGCCTCATAGAAACCAGCTATGAGGAATTTCTAATCCAGCATGATTCCCACCACACCGCCTAGCCTCTCTCTAATTCCCTACCTAGGAACGATGCTATTTCATTCCCAATCAGCTTCAGATATACACCTCACTCATCTTCACACGATTGCTTTTGGCAGAAAAGACAAGCATACCATACACTAAACGTTAAAACCAGAGCTTCACATTTCAAGTTTACATCTGAAAGATGTAAGAAAACACTGCAGTTCCAATACTCCCCTTTCTGTACCTTTTGCTAAACGATCATTCTTCTCATAAAGGGAAAGATTTCTCTCAAAAGTTAGCTGACTTTATGTCCCAAAGCAGCTATTCTATATAAGAGTAGAGAAGATTTTTTTACACTGGAGCTGCAATAATCACTTCCCAGCTTATGAGGCATTCTGGTTTTAAAGCTCTTTACATGTGTTATCTTTTCTGAGACAATGGATACCCTCAAGATGTCCTCATGGAACTTCAATCGGCAGTTTCCATTTACAATACACGTGTTGAAAGGAAGGGGGGAGCTATTTCTGAGGGTCTCTGCTAGACACTTTCCCACTTATGTAATACTCACCACAGGTTTGAAATCTCTCATTGGGACCTGTAGCTACTGTACGACACTTACAAGCCATCCAGCACTTGTCAAGCACTGTGCTCGTCTCTGCCCTGCTCATTTTCTGTATCTGTTTCCTGGGGCTGCTGTAACCAGGCCCCACAAACTAGGTGGTTTAAAACAACAGAAATCGTTCTCTCCTGATGCTAGAAGTCCAAAATCAAGGTGCTGGCAGGTCTACACACATCTGAAGGCTTAGGGGTGGATCCTTCCTTGCCTCTGTGTAGCTTCTGGTGACTTCTGGCAACGCTTGGAATTTCTTGGCTTGCAGCTGAATTACTCCAGTCTCTGCCTCCTCTGTCACATGGCCTTTTCCCCCTCTGCTTCTGTGTGTCTTTCGG